ATAATTAATCCAAACCAAGCGTACCATCGCAAGACTTCAAGACAAAGCTTGTTCTGCGTAGTCTGGTCAAAAAATAATATTCAAATAAAGGTAGGCGGGATTACTATGATATTTATACGTCAAACACCTCAGTCCTGTAAAATGTATGCCCGAAATATCGGGAATTAAAAAGTTAAAAACATGTTATTTTCTTTCTATTTCTGTTTAGAAATCATTTCTTTTTTTATTTAATTCAAGTCCTACGGAAATAATCCATTCATGCATCAATTTCATACCTATGAGGTATGAATAAGGCACACTGAAAGTTCTGCGCTCCTGGCCGCTCATAAATGTTTGAATTTCGGGTCGCGTGCTCGCGTGTCAATTGTTTTATCGCGTTTGTTGGAATTAACGCTAAAATATTTTAGAGAGAATTTTTTTATGATTTAACTTTCTCTTCAAGATTGGACTGCTCGTCTTCAAAATGCTTTTAGAAGGGAAGCACCTCGTTTTAGCACTTTAAGACGTTGGCACGCAAAATTTTATCGTGACTGTTTCTCACATCGATATTCAAATGCGATCATAGAGGTAAATATGACTCAGAAGAGACAGTGATAGCTTTCATCCAGTACTTAAGAAATATGCCCTCAGAGATGTCTTTATCTTTTCAGTCATACAACTGAGATAATCTCAACACATCCACGCTTTATTAATTATTATATTGATTTAATTCCATGATCCGCTATATATTACGCCGGGTATTCGTCAATAATAATAATTTTTGTACAGACAAAGGGTTTGAATTTTGTTATTTTTATATTCACCTATATTTACATACACAAAGTATATTAAAGCGTAAACCTCGCAGCTGTTAATAGTCCGTTGTTTTGCATAACTTTACAAGGAACCGCTTGAATCGTTCATTATCTTCGCTCCTGTAGCCCAGTCACGTGCGTACTCCTCCGAGATGGGATGCTATAATATTTAAACACCGAATATAAGCAAATATTTAAAGGCTAAATTTAATGTAGTGTAAGATAATGAAGGAAGCGCCGTAACTTATTTACAAGATAAATTTTCCAAGTGCTTTTATTTTGTGCAGTCTACTTTTACGTGGTAAAACAGAAACGTGTCACCGATTATTCTATATCTGATATAAATATCTTAAAATCAACCTAACATTGCTCACAATACAAAAAATCTAATCTAATAAAAAAAAGAAGAAAATAACTAATAATATAATTTTACCAATTGAAATCAAACAAAAAAGGTACTCTTGCGAAAGAACCGCAGGATCGAACATGACACTCTCGAAAACTATAAGACAATGCACCAGATAAAGAGCATTAGACATTGCTATAAACATATACATATCTGAATGATTTTTTAAATAAAACTGAAGTGAAAAAAAGTTACAGTCCATGATAGTAAATTCAAACAAAGAAAAGTACAGATGAGTTGTCACATCTGCAGGCTAAGATAAAATGCCTTACATCTCTTAGTTATCATTCGTAACGTATATTATAACTTGTGACGCAAATAATCTTTCCGAGTAAATTTTCTATCTAGGAGATGGATAAACCGTCATTTATCGAAAATTATCTACTTTGACACCCATAGGACGAGATATGGCGATGGGTCTGTCTATGTGCAGCTTACGTATGCTGTGTGTGTAATAGTGGAATAGTTGTGTGGCGGTGAAGCTTTTCTTAAGAAATGTTCATTAATTAATGAATTTATGTATGTAAAACATCACTATGCAACATAGTAGATTGACAGTGGTGCCTGAATTTTAGTTCTCTTTAGTATTTTAACACTACGTGAAATTAATCATCTACAACATTTGTAAGTTCGGGGAATTCTCAGTAGCCCTACCAAGTAGTCTTACTAGTAAGACTACCTTTTGGGATTTTTTTTTCCAAACGTCTTTCTAAATGGTCTTTTATCTATATCTATACAAATAAATAAAATTGAAGTGTCTGTTTGTTATGTCAAAATTACAGCTTTTTACCAAATGCATATGGAAGTATATACGGTACTTAGATATAATAGAAATACATCATTTAATTTATTTTTCTGTTAGTCTTTCTACTTATTCCAGCTAATCTCCGAAACGGCTGGACTGATTTTGACGGGACTTTCACTGGCAGAAAGCTGATGTCATATCAAGTAACTTAGGTTACTTTTATTTTAAAACCAGAATTAGGGTTCCACGCAGAAAAATTAAAACCCCAAATAACACGCGAGCGAAGTCGCGGGGAATAGCAAGTTTCTAATAAAATTTCCAGTTATATCAAGTAAGACATAACTGGGTATTTTCTTACCAAGTAGACCCTACTAGTAGATCACTTTGGAAAAACATTCTTAGCTGCTCTTTAAAGTATATGGAAGTTGTCATCACTTTCGTAATAGCTAGCACTTTAGTAGTTTATTTTTGGAATAGTAAATACTAGGCAAGCATAAACTTGCAAGAGGCAATGGGACTGTTTTAGTTCTTATATTTTGTACACTAAAACTACTTATATTAACTTCTATTCGCCTGATACTTCTGAGACAAGAATATATAAATAGCTAATCATAAAAAGATTACTTGTAACTAGTAATACTTACTAGTAACACTACTTCGTAAGACTACTGGCAATAGCCCGTTAGTTCGTAATTAGTGAGTTTTTTTATAGAATAAGGGTGACAAACGATCACACAGTCCACCACTGATAGTAAGTGGATGCTGTAGCCCAAAGATATCTACATCTATCCTCGATTAAAAATCAAAATTTGGATGTGTTTTCCCCTGAGGAAAAGATGGAATGATGGAATGAAATGTAAAAAGGGTATCCGGTCCTCTAGACGCACCATATTAAACACAGCAGCATTAAGCTACTATTTTACGCTGCTATTCTATACTGTGAGAGTATGATCCTACCCCGATCTAGCCGACGTATCCGTGCAGCAACCATAATATAGCAGCGTGGTTCTACCACGTATAGTGTCAGTGCTAGTTAAACTTATTTTACAACGAAATTAAGTTTAGTCATTCGAAGAAAAGATCTACCTGACGAGGAATTCAGCCGGGAACAGACAACATTGTGTACGGAACTCGGCGAACTCTTCTCGTTACAATTCCGTCCTGACATTGAAAGTACTGTATAAATACAATATTATATAAAAAGTGAAAGAAAAAATGCCATGAAAATATATACAGAAAAACAGAGAGTGAGAGAATAATTCTGTTAATATTCTCGTTCTAATTATGTACTATATTCGTAATGTTGTTTTTTTCTGGTTTGTTTTTTGGTAAATCATTTAAAATATTACGGCGTGAATACTTTGAAGCACTTTGTGGATAATTTTGCATAAATATTGAGCAATAACTATTATTTTAAATTTTTGCTTCACAGAAGTCACGGAAATAAAATGAAGCAATAATTATTATAATAGTAACTCCATAAACTGAAATAATTTTATAACTTATTCTTTATAATAATTTTGGAACGAGGGGCTTATAAGAGAATCAATTAATTAATGTTAGTTTCCTAATATAATCATTTTGTATAATAAAGTATAATAGAAATGTATTAAAGGCGGAGGTTTTGGAATAACGCATAGAATAAATACAATACAGACAGTAAATTAATAGGACCGAACTGGCTTTGATTAAGAACGCATTTGCATTGGAAGGCAAAGCAAAGATACCCGGTATTTGCTTTGCCGTGAATATACAAGTATACGAGTATACGCGCAGTCCTTTGATTTGAAATATTTCAGCAGAATAATAAATGATTATGGTTAACACTATATTTATTTTGTTTAGTTTTTACTTTTAACATTTAAACGTTTGATTTTAAGTTACATATATCTAAATAAACTTTACTTTGATTTATTTCAATGACTTATGATTAATTATTTTTATTATAGCTCGAAAACCAACAACCGATGGTTAATAAAGGTTCTCGAGTGGTGGTACTGAGTGGTACCTCGTAACGGTAAGCTAAGTGTAAGGCGGTCCCCTACTAGATGCAGTGACCTGGTAAGACATGCAAGATTTCGATGTATGCAGGTGTGGCTCAGGATTATTCTTTGTGGCATTCCCTGGTGCAGTTCTATGTTCAGCAGTGGATTTACGGGCTGTAATGACGATGGTGACGATGATTTTTTTTAATAAATATTGTGTTGCTTAAATAAACAAAACTGTGAGACGTTGTGAAAGCAAACAAATAAAATACAATACTTATATACGGATTCAAAATTTTTACAAAAAAAAAATTTCACTTTATTACGTAAATTTAAACAATAACTGAAAAAGACTGAAAATATTTATAATAAGAATAAGACAAAAACTTGCTCTTCCTGTACCTATCTTTTGACAACTACTTTGGAATTTTCTACGTAACAAAATTCATTCTTCGTTTACCTGAACATGAATAGAATCCTAATTAAATTTATTTCTGCTCAAAAACCAAAAATCGTGGCTAGAATTTGTAAACATTTATACAAGATTAAAATTTATTTATTATCATGAGGGCCTTTTTCATTTTACTATAATTCCAGACAAACGAAGTAATTTTGAATAATAATAATTTAAAATTTAAAATTTTGTACAGCCGACTTCAATATAATATATATTCATATGAGACCACACGAGAACTACCTGCTTTCAAATAAAAAAAGAATTATCGAAATCGGTCCACCCAGTAAAAAGTTATGAGGTAACACATAAAAAAATACAAAAAAAATACAGTCGAATTGAGTACCGTCTCCCTTTTGGAAGTCTGCAGAAAAAACAATTAGATAAAAGTCGTGTATTATGTGTGATTTTTAATATATAATAGAAAAACACAGATGTATCAAATCAAACATGATAAAAATTAATAAATATTTAATTACATTATTTTTTAAAGCAGATAATAGTTTATTTATATATTTACAATAAAGGACCTGTCATACGAATCTCAATGATACCATCAATAATACACTAAACTTTATGATACTACTAAAAATTATTTAAAAAAAAGTGATATAACCTAAATAGTATCTTCTGTTGCATCCTCTACTTCAATAGTATTTTTCCTTATTGGTGGTTGATCACCACAAATAAATTTTCCTTCCGTTGAGTTTTCACCAAATAATTTTAATGCTTCTATAATTATTTCCTTGCGTGGTTTATGTGGTGCTCTGGAGAATACTATCACATCTCCTGTATCACAGTCCCTCATTAATAGTAAGTTTTTCACGACGAGCCACTGATCAGGACTTTCGGGTTTAAGAATGTAATTTGAAGTATCATCTGAAAATTATTTTGCACCACACACATTTTGATTACTAAAGTTTTTGATTTACATTTCAAATAAAGAAAACATCAAAAAGATAAACATCAAGAAAATAATAATTCCTTTCGGACAGAATATTTTTTCACAAAATTCTTTAGGGAAACTAGTCATCTGCTCAGGACAAGATCATAATTCCCAAATGTATACGTAAGCAGAGGTTGCCTCACATGCGTAGTCCCATAGGACGGTAAACTGACACGACCGAAGAGAGATCCAGCGCAGGACCAACAGCTAAGCAAGCTTATCCAGTTACGGAGGTGAAACATGGTTAACTTTCTGACTCCGAGAAACTGCTGCTACCTGCTCGCTAGAGAATTTCTTGTCAGAAAAACACAATATCTAATTTGGCCCAACCCGGGATTCGAACCTAGGACCACATGATCAGCAATCAGTTTACAACCAATACGGCAACGAGGCATTCAAATAAACAACGAAAACAAAATCGCAATGACGTATTATATTTTAGTCAATAAAATACTTACTATTTTTTTCTGTCAAGATAATATTTTCTAAAACTCCATGTCCTCTTTCGCATCCCTGTAGGAAATGCTTTTTAATTTCCAAACTTGATTTAATTTCTAAATTACAGTCTTCCCATTCTACTGCATCATCAAAATCACCATATTTCTGTTTGTAAAATTGCTTCTCCTGTTTTGTTATAAAAGTTATTTGAATAAAACAAAATGAGAAACACTTTATTTTCAATTAAATAATCATAATATAAATTACGAATGTTTTTTTAGCCTAAAATCTTCTCTTTATCTTTTTATAAAATATTTTCAGTATTCACATGTAATTCACGTGCTGTTAAAGATTATGGGTAGGCGATTGTAAAATGCTAGAAAGATCATTTAATTTTCGATAGATGCAGTTATAACCATCTCGTTTACGCCAGGCCTAAACTATCCAGACCGGCAACGGGGAGCAACGTCAAAGTTGCGACACGTGTATTACTGCGATTGCCTACCAAATGCAACGGTTAAGACAAATCCTCCTAATACGGTGGGAGAGTATGCCTCATACCCAGTAGTGAACTTTCATTTGTTGATAAAAAAGAAGAAGAAGGATTTAAATTAATTAAAATTGTTATAAAAAAATATTAAGGAACGAATCATTAGAATTAGCTGCGACCGCGCGTTGTCAAAATATTCTTGCTTCGTTTTCTTACATTTCGGTTTATAGAATTTTATTTCTCATAAGAACATACATTGGTTCATTTATAATGAGATACAAAATAATTATTATAATTTGATAATATTATTACATCTACCTCTAGTGCTGGAAGCGATATAGTCTTAGGTTATTTACTCATACATATTAGGTACCATATATTAAAAAGATTACACTGTGCGTACGTACGAGTATTTCCTAAGTTTACTTTTAAACAATTTCATGTTATTGCAGTTTTTAATGCCATCTGGTAATTTATTGAACAGCTGTGCTCCCTCAAACAATAGTGTTTTGCCATAGTTAGTTCGTGCAGTAATTAGTTGAAGTTTATTTTTACTTTTTAACTGTATGTTTGATTGAATAGAATAATTGGTGGTTATATTTTTTATTAGATTGCAAATGCAATACGTATATACTTGTGTAAGATTTACAAAGTTTTTTCGTATAGTGTTTTTGTTGGAGTTAGATAATGGTAGTGAAATGATGCTTTGATAATTTTATTTTGGGTTCTTTGAAGAGGATGTAGATTAGTTTTAGGGGCTGATCCCCATATCTCAATTAGATATTCAATATGTGATTTAACTAAAGAGTTGTATATTTTACCTTCATAGTGAGTTTCCTGATAAACATTTTAAAACAAGGCACTTTTTGAGATGCTTGATAATACGCCGTCTGCCACAAATCAACCATTTTGTTTAGATTTATTGGTCCAACGTATTTAAAATATGCACATATCTCCTTTATTTTGTATTTAGTATCGTCAGTTTCATTAGCTTTTGGGATTGACTCTGTTTGCGAAACACTAGTTGTATACGTTGTAGAAACACTAGAAGTCTCCGTTGTAGAATCAGCTTTCATTTCATCGCTATTAGAAAAATTATCGTCGACACTTGTAGGGTTTGTAGCTCCAACATCACCATCGAAGTCTGTTCTTTCGTAAATAGCATTTGAATCATTTTGGAGTAGACTTGAATATAAATTATCATCATCTTGCGTATGACTCCTTGTAACCACTAAGAATATCGTGTAAAATATACATTTAGAATAACTCCACATTTTGAAACGTGTGTGCTCTTCTGCTAGCACCTTATACTGAAATGGTAACAAACATTTCTTACCACATGGGCAGTCACTGCAATCGCAATCATTATTTTTTGATGCGTTGTTATGATTTTATAATTCTATAGTAAATTGAGAGAGCGTACTTAAACAACCCATTGTTAAAATATTTGTAATCCCAAGCAGTGATATAATACCACAATTATTGTTTACCATAATCAAGATTTTAAAACATAAAGACACTTGACAAAAATAATTTTATGTTTATAGTATTAAAAAAAAGTACATTCATATTAGGTGTGATGTGAGAGAGTACATCTGACCTCTGAATGTGGACTTAACCTGCACCAAAATCTTGCTAAATTATGCGTGAAACTACGTTTGCAAATTTTAAAAAATATATGCAGAACCTTGAGAAGACCTTCTATCGAAATTTAAGTGGTGCTATAGTCCCTTGAGTGGTAGTAAGGTAATAGTCAGTATAAAGTCCTCCAGATCGAATTTAGATCACGCGGCCAGTCTTAAAGGACACTAGCCATTTGTACAGGACGATGTTATAGTGCACAAGTTTGTGCGCCAACACAGATGCACTCTTTGTACCTTTACTCCCATAGTAACACTGCTAACAACAATTGCTTGACAACACAGTAACCAATTTTAAGCCTGCTTTTAGAATCGAACCCTAGAACACAAATGATCAGGAGTCGTATTTACGGCCAGTACATCAAGTAGGTAGTTAGCATTTTATTCAGCTGACTACAGTTAGTATATTCAGGTGCTAAAGTGCTTGTAAAGCAACGCTACGATATCTTACCTAGTATAGAACCAGAAAACGAAACCTAAACAACTGTAAAAAGGTGCAAAATAGGGGGTCACCTCTACATTAAAAAACGTTTTAAACTACAGAACTGAAAGGATATTATGGTAATAAAGCCAATGGCGGTACGGTAATACGTCACACACCTTCGATTTGCCCGCAATATATTCATTATGGCAGAATCTCCGTAGGACCTAATTCATCATCATCATCATCATTACAGCCCTTCACATGTCCACTGTTGTACATAGGCCTCCCCCAAGGAATGCCACAAAGCACGGTCCTGACCCACCTGCATCGAACGACTTTCTGCATGTCTTACCAGGTCGTCACTCCATCTAGTGGAGGGTCGCCCTACACTTCGCAGACACACACACTCGAGAACCTTGTTTCCCCATCGGTTATCGGTTCTTTGAGGTATATGGCGGCCCATTGCCACTTCAGGTTACTAATCCGTTGGGCCATGTCGGTCACTCTGTTTCAACTGCGAAAAACCTCATTTCTAAGTTTACCACGGATAAAATACCCGAGAATAGAAAATATCCATAGCTCGCTGAGCGACCTTGAGCTTCCATATAACCAGTAGTGAAGGACCACGTCTCAGTTCCATAAGTCATTACTGGCAACACGCACTGGTTGTATAGTTTTGTTTTCAAGTTTTGACGTATTACCTGACGAGAAGATTTGTCGTAATTTCCCGAACGCTGGCGAGATAAGTTGAATCCGTCGTGATTTCTTATATTTACACGAACACTACACATTTAAATTAAACTAGTTTTACGAATGTTATCGCGTATATTAACTTATTTTATATTCCCGACGTTTCGAGTACTTTATAGCACCCCTGGTAACGGGGGGGGGGGGGGGGGGCTGACTGAGGTGTTTGACGTCCCAATGTCATAATTAACCACGGCTACCTCCAGATTAAAAATTATAATAGGAACAAAACTTAATAAGTTTTATTCTGTAAAATACTCGAAACGTCGGGACTATAAAGTAAGTTAATATATGCGATAAAATCCGTAAAACTATTTCAATCCATCGATTGACCTCTCGGTCGAAGTTGGACTTACCTAGACTATTTGTCCCAGGTAAACATACTCGTCATCAACTTCGAGCTTAGTACTCCCGACAACTACTGGTATAGGTGTGACCTGTTTTACACCTCTATGCAGTTGGATAGGCTTTGTACTCTGTTATTTACTACACTTTTTTCTACACTACAAACAATTCAGCACTTCGATATACCAACAGTCAATTTGACACCGCTGTAGGTCTCTATGTGCAGTCTTGCAGCACCATCCAAATTTTGATGGAATCTAAGGATTTCTCATAGTCGCAAGACAAAGCGGAAGAGACTACTCTTCGGTCTTCTGTACAATTTGCCGAAGGGTATGTACATGGTCTATAGTGCTAAAGCCTTTTCGAAAACCGGTTTGTTTGGGAGGCTGAAAGTCATCGAATCTGCTTGTGTGACGATTCGTAATGACTCTGGAAAACAGCACGTAGACGCGGCACAGAGGGGAAATCGGTCTGTAGTTCTTCGAGAAAGTAAGAGTAGAAATGTACTATGCCCAATACCTTAGCAGCGTTTCCAATGCATATTTATTAAGATTACCATTGACAAGTGATTTGCCATTGAGCCGTGGTAGCTCAGATGGTTAGCGCTCGCTGTAAGCTTCACTGTACTCGAGCAACCCGGGTTCGATACCCGCCGGCACCAATTAAATTGTTAATTGCAATTTTAAGTGCTGATTTACCACGTGCTCGGCGATGTAAGAAAACGTGAGGAAACCTGCATGTCTGAGAAAATAAGAAAAAAATATTTCGAAGGCATGTAAAGTTTGCTAACACGCATTGGCGCAGCGCGGCGGACATTTCCTTGCGCTAAAACCCTCTCAGAAATAAGAGGAGGCCTGTGCCCAGCAGTGGAACGTAAATAGGCTGCAACTTTACCATTGACAAGCCAAAAATATGTCTAACGACCATATTAAACCTCAAAAGTAGTAAGAAACACAACGCTCCAAATTTTGTGTATGTGACCTAGGACATAATTTCTGATCAGTTACTAAATCCAACTTTGATCAAGAAGTCAACTGACAATTTCAACTCGGCTCGGATGCGTTCGGGAAATTGTGACAAATCTGTTTGCCTTCGAAATGAAAGTGTACAGCAGTGCGCGTAATCTTTTTTATATAGGATAAAGGTCACAAGCGAGCACACAGTGCACCTGATGGTAAATAGTTGCTGAGGCCTATAGACATCTACATGCGAATCATAATGCAGATGCGTTGTCAGCTGTGAGGACTAAGATGGAATGCCTCTTTTCCAGTACAAAGGGTCTCCGGTTCTCTACTCGGTTTGCTACTCACCATACGAAACACAGCAGCAGTAAGCTGATATTTTACGCTGGTATTCTGTGAGAGCATGTTTCTTCCCCGGTCTAGCCGACCTATTCGATAGTGACTCATGGGACCAAACCGTTTTCCTTCATTGTTAGCCATGTTAGGAAGTTTAAAATCACTCAAAAAGGCTATGCTCAGAATTCCTCTATGGGACAACCGCAGAAAAACAAGAGTACGTAACTGACATAGCCTAACGGATCAGTAAATCGAAGTGACAATGGGCCGACCATAGCTCAAAGCCAAGCATAAAAACCGATCACACATGAGGAAGAAAATTTTATCAGCGACAGCATATTAGCAAATGCAGTGTTGGCCCAACTTGCCCTGGACGGAGTGATGACCTGATAAAACACACAGGTAGTCGACGAATGCAGGTAACTCAGGATCGTACTTCGTGGTAAGAGAGGCATGTGTGCAGCAGTAATCAAAATGGCAAACCTAAATCTTGAAGACTGGTGATATGGTTAAACCACGTTTCCAGTAAGGTATCGATCCTGCCCTTTTGGCTGTTCAGTATGACATAAGTAGTACCGGCAACCGTTGTGCTTCCCCCATAGATATATTAAGCTAAGTAAGGCAAGAGAGCTAGTAACCCTAGTTTTTTTTATTTTCATTTATTTTATTTTAAGACGCTGCTGCTCATCTTCTGATTTATTTCCTCGCTTCTTACGCTATCCACGAGATGATATAGGCTAGTGGATATTCTTACACCGCCAATATATATTACATTCTTACTATACCTGTAGGTAATCGGTATAGTCCCCGCAAATTATATATGAATGTTAAGAGTTTAACATCATCAAATTTCATTAATTTTTAAGTTCACTCATGTAATTACGTTATATGGTGAATTCATTTTAGCCATTCAAAGTCCATTGCTGAACATAAGCCTCCTCCATAGATTGCCTCATAGGATGAATATTTGTCATAGTTGCCTCGCTTGGCAAGCGGGTTGGCAACCGCAGGTTTCCTATTTCCCATCCGTCCATCTCCTACTTCAACATCGCTCTATCGCTCTTCGGTCTTCGGACGACAGTCACCGGATGATTTGAAATAGAATTTTTTATTTTACAGATATTACTATTTGTATATATTTCAAATAATTTAGCCATTTAACGTTTTTAAGACGTCCGGAAAATCATCGGAATAGTGTCGGATAAGACTTGCTCTTGGATCGGTTTTCACAGTTGCCTGTGGCTCCAACGACCTAAACGTGTACAGCTGCCCATAGAACCTCTTCATTTCACCCAAGGTTTCAGGTGTCCCGGACAAAACTCGGTCGTCAGCTTCGACAGTTGGCTCTTTCTGGCAGACAGATCACTGACAAAGACTTCGGAGCCCTGATTACACTCGAACGCTTCTTTTATTCGAGCTGTATTTAAGTTGTGTAAGTCCCGCCAAATGTATTTAGAGATTTGTCTGTTTAGTTGCCTGTATGTTGTCAGATCTGCTGAAGATTGCAGTTTCATTTCCCGTCCAAAAGCCATGAGATTAAGAGTGTTATCGGAGAGTTTATGTAATCTTTTGCGAGAGGCCTTGCAGAACTTAGCTTGTCATTCATATCGTCCACTGCATTGCAGTCTTCTAGGCACTGAAAACATATCTTAATATAAAATTTTGTAACTCAGCCTAAAAGTTTTCGAGGCTTTTGATTAGAGCACGAAGGTTACGGAGCGGGGACTTCATTAGACTTGACCTCTCCAATTTAATGTTTAGGTTCAGTGTGCCTCTAACCATTCAGTGATCACTGCCAGGTTTGACCCTCGCGATCACTG